TATATGCTACACTGTCAATTAATAATCAAGCTAATTTTTTTAAAAAGTGAAGTATGCAAAGCAAATGTACTTGGTGTGCTAAATTTGGAACAGGAGCTATTTTTTTGTGATATTTTAGGGCACTAATTTCTCTAAGAATTATGAGGGATGGATTTTACAAATGGAAATTGTGATGAATGAAAATTAAGAAACAAATGCAGCGAATTGTTTGTTTAAAAGGAATGAAAATAACACAAGAAATGGTGAAACTATAAAATAAATAGGTATTAAAATAAGAAACAACATACCCTCTTCGGTTTGTCTGCAAGTCGATCAGAATCGAATCTGTTCAAACTAAACTAAAGAATAAAGAGTTGCTGCCGTATTGATGATTGAAAGAAAACAAAATAATTATTTTGGCTTTGAACAAGAAACTACAGAGTTATTACGTAGAAGAGATAAAGCATCTTACTACGTTTCTTTTTCTGGTTACAAGCATCGAACTGTTTATAAATGTAGAAAATAAGAAGACTTTTGGATTGTGAAAAAAAAAAAGAAGGAGACTTTTGGATCCGAAGACATTTCGAAACCATTTTCTTTACACTGACACTAGCCTGACCGTGTGGACCGCTTTATTTTTGTTTTGGTCAACTTTGGTAGATTTCATTAAATGTGAAGATTGGCAAAACCGGGGTTAACCGGTGCCGAATACAAGATCGATTTTGCTAGATTATCTGCTCTAGAGAATGAAAGAGAACGATACAGATTTTAGAGAGTGAGAGATATTTGAGATATCTTTCTGGATTCCATAGATCTCGAGTTGTGAAACTTCCGATTTGATTAGGGTTGGATCCCTTTCAAATAACTCCAGAATAGATATATACGGAATAGGAATATTCCAACCACCTAAGTATAGAATTGTTACAAATAATGAGYAAATTAAGAGATTTAGATAAGAAGCAACATAAAATAAACCGAACTTAATATCCGAATATTCTGATTTCTCAAATTAATACTATGTTAAAATCTTCACAGAAATCACAGTTTTTTTAAGTGACGGTTTATTCTGTATACAATTTAACTTTTAATATTTGTTAGTCCATTGTCTAACTAAACAGTTTGTATACAGTTATGTTATTTGTTAAAAAAAAAGGTTATAAATTTATGGATTATGTAGACTTGCGAATCATACCATAACTATATAAGCAAATATGGAATAAAAAAAAAGGAAAATAGAGATATAAGAAAAGAGTTGGGACCATTGCAAAAATGTCACTTTTGTTAGATATATTTTCAAAAATACCATTATGGGTTGTTCATTTGTAAAAATGACACT